ATGCAAAACAAATTCAGAAAAATGAATCTGTTCAACAGAATGAATATGACGAAATGAAATTCTTTAATTAACAAATGCATCTGAAATTAAATGAAAATTCCAGGCATTCACATTTCTAGCAAGTATGACATGTTTGTAATTTTAGAAAAAAAAAAAAATCTTTAGATACATTTTAAGAGTGGACAGCATTTCTAGCTGAAACAGCACACATTTTTCTGTACTTGCAGGGTATTTAAATGGCTAAAAAAAAACGGGGAAATGTGCAATATATTGTCACGATTGTACTGCAAAAAGAACTAAGCACTGTCCATGATATATTTTTTTTCTATTTCTGCTAACATTTACATTTTGGAAAAAGCTTTCTTCTTGGTCCAATGTTAGTGCAAAAGAAAAAAAGTATCATGAACAGTACTTTTGCCTTGGCATATGCTTTATTTCCAATTTCAAATATATGCGTTCCTGAAAAATTTACTGAATCTGCAGGGTTCTTAGGCCAAATACATATTATCCAATTGAAGATATACTGCTTTTTTATTAATCTAGATTGAAAGTTTCTGGCTCAAATTTTACATTAAACATACAGGTTTCTTCTATGAACATCTATGAACATCATTACCTAAAGCAATCATTTGCTAGGGGAAGCAGCAGGCATGCTATTATTGGTAGCCATTGTGTTTTAGATGTGTTGCTTCATCTGAGATTGCTTTTATTGCTTCATGTAATACTGATTGTAGGTGAGTTCATGTAAAACAAATTCTGTGAACATCTTTTTCAAACACATAGTGGATGCACCCGTATATTAGATAAGTTATTATAGTATAACAATAACAAAAACAATTTAAAAGTAAATGCAGATGTGATACAATGGTGAACAGTGCGCTGATCCATGGAATAATGTCAAAGCACACATAAAGTCTCATCCCAGATCAGTGGTAAGAAGAGAGGTGAAGAATCCTATAGGCAGATTAGAGGTGCGCACTCACCAGAAGTGCGTATAAACAAAGCATGTAGAGAGGTAAAATCAGCAGAATATCTCCGGCATCAAAACTCTGGTCAGATTGCACTCCGTACCATCCTCTGTCTCACCGCGAAGAGCAGTAACCAGGGATTCATCAGACAATGTGGGCGTCAAAGGTACCTCCTTAGTCCAGATAGGCACTGTGGGAGGTGGTGCTCTCAAAGAGAGAGCCCAATAAAGGACGCCACATAGTGTGATGTTTGTTTTGACTTAGGTTTATTAGTCAAAAATAGTAATCAACAAAAAGTTACTGACCATGAATTGTTGGCCACATATAGTGGCTAGATGTCCATGTGCTGTAGCCCCCCTAATGCGTTTCGTGCGATGCAACAGTTCCTCAAAGGGTCAGGGCTTCTAACAGCAGGACATCCTTCCCCCCTCTATTTATACACAGAAGAAATGGCAATCGCGGCTAGTCGCTGCGGCCATTTTGCGCGGCGTCTCGCGCCGATGCGCAGTACATCGGCTCCAATTTTGCCAATGGATTCACAAGGGAGAATATACATGGTTCCCCCTAGTGTCCATTTGAGACATACAAGGCAGCGCCATGTTAATAGTTAGGTGAAAGCAGAAATACTTCTAAGAAGAAACCGCCGGCGCGATCACCCAGGACAAATCACTAGGCTGCTGGGCTAAAATAACAATTATTATTTAAAAGGAGCAATGCCAGCGCTACCCAAAAGTACATTAAGGAAGAATCATTATTCTAATAAAACAAGATGATGATTTACTGGAAAGTAATGGTATCATACATTTAGAGATGGAAGCGAATCGAAGTATGGCGAAACGTGGAATTTTTTTCTAATCTATATCGGGAAAAAATATTGGCGGCATTTTAGAATTCTTCCATTTGCCTCCAAGTCATTCAATACAGAGGCAGACCTGGCTGTATTCAGTGAGAGAGTTAGGAACAAGAAGAAACGTTACTTAGGGGACACAGAAACGCGTTTAGTTAGGTCCACAGAGATCGCGATTACTTAGGGCCACAGAAACCGTTACTTAGGAGCCCCACAGAATCGTTTAGTTAGGTGCCACAGAAAAACGTTACTTAGGGACACGGGCGCCCGGGGAGAATTGTTACTCCATGGACAGTACAGAATTGTTACTGAGGGATACAGAATTGTTACTGAGGGCCACAGAATCGTTTACATATGGGCCACAGAACCGTTACTTAGGGCCACAGAATTGTTACTTAGGGACAGACACAGAATTGTGACTTGAGGGAACATAGCAGATTTTGTTACTGAGGGCCACAGAATCGTTACTTAGGGCCACAGAAGTTTTTACTTAGGGACAGACACAGAATTGTTACTGAGGGACACAGAGTTTTTACTGAGGGCCACAGGAATCGTTACTTAGGGCCACAGAAACGTTACTTAAGGGCCACAGAAACGTTGCTTAGGGCCACAGAATTTTTACTTAGGGACAGACACAGAATTGTTATTGAGAGGGACACAGAATTTGTTACTGAGGGCCAATCGAACCGTTACTTAGGGGCCACAGAAACGTTACTTATGTGCCACAGAATTGTTACTAGGGACAGACACAGATTGTTACTGAGGGACACAGATTTGTTTACTGAGGGCCACAGAAACGTTTACTTAGGGCCACAGAAACGTTACTTAGGGCCACAGAATCTGTTAGTTAGGGCCACAGAAACTGTTACTTTAGGGACACAGAGTTGTTACTCAGGGACAGACACAGAATTTTGTTACTGAGGGATACAGAATTGTTACTGAGGGCCACAGAATCGTTACTTAGGGCCACAGAAGAAACGTTACTTAGGGCCACAGAAACGTTACTTAGGGCCACAGAATTGTAAATATTAGGGACAGACACAGGAATTGTTAATTGAGGGACACAGAATTGTTACTGAGGGCCACAGAAACCGTTACTTCGGGCACAGAAACGTTTACTTTAGGGCCACAGAATTGTTACTTAGGGGACAGACACAGAATTGTTACTGAGGGACACAGATTTGTTACTGAGGGCCACATAAAACGTTACATAGGGCCACAGAATCGTTACTTAGGGCCACAGAAACGTACTACTTAGGGCCACAGAAAAACGTTTACGTAGGGCCACAGAATTGTTTACTTTAGGGACAGACACAGAATTGTTACTGACTAGGGCCACAGAATTGTTACTGAGGGCAACAGAACCGTTACTTAGGGCACACAGAAACGTTACTCAGGGCCACAGAAACGTTTACTTAGGGCTACAGAAACGTTACTTAGGGCCACAGAATCGTTACTTAGGGCCACGAAATCGTTACTTAGGGGACACAGAAGTAAACGTTACTTAGGGCCACAGAAACTTTACTTAGGGCACAGAATTGTTACTTAGAGACAGACACCAGAATTGTTACTGAGGGACACAGAATTGTTACTGAGGGCCACAGAACCGTTATTTAGGGCCACAGAAACGTTACTTAGGGCCACAGAATTGTTTTACTCAGGGACAGACACAGAATTGTTACTGAGGGATACAGAATTGTTACTGAGGGACACAGAACCGTTACTTAGGGCCACAGAAACGTTACTTAGGGCCACAAGAAACGTTACTTAGGGCCACAGAATTGTTACTCAGGGACAGACACAGAAATTCTTACTCAGGGACAGACACAGAATTGTTAATCAGGGGACACAGAATTGTTACTGAGGGACACAGAATTGTTACTGAGGGACACAGAATTGTTACTCAGGGACACAGAATTGTTACTGAGGGACACAGAATTGTTACTGAGGGGACACAGAATTGTTACTCAGGGACAGACACAGAATTGTTACTCAGGGACAGACACAGAATTGTTACTGAGGGACACAGAATTGTTACTGAAGGGGCCACAGAAACTGTTACTTAGGGCCACAGAACGTTACTCGGGACACAGAATGTTACTCAGGGACAGGACACAGAATTGTTACTCAGGGACAGACGCAGAATTGTTACTGAGGGACACAGAATTGTTTACTGAGGGACACAGAATTGTTACTGGAGGGCCACAGAACTGTTACTTATGGGCCACAGAAACGTTACTCAGGGACACAGAATTGTTACTCAGGGACAGACACAGAATTCTTACTCAGGGACAGACACAGAATTGTTACTGAGGGACACAGAATTTTTACTGAGAGACACAGAATTGTTACTGAGGGACACAGAATTTGTTACTGAGGGACACAGAATTGTTACTCAGGGACAGGCACAGAATTGTTACTCAGGGAACAGGCACAGAATTGTTACTGAGGGACACAGAATTGTTACTGAGGGACACAGAATTGTTACTGAGGGCCACAGAACTGTTACTTAGGGCCACAGAAACGTTACTCAGGGACACAGAATTGTTACTCAGGGACAGACACAGAATTGTTACTCAGGGACACAGAATCGTTTAATTAAAGAGTATGTCAGACAACATGCAGAGGAGTGGCAGAGGAGGCAATGTTTTAGGAGCGAGCAGACGTGGCAGCAGAGGAAGGGGTTCGAGGCAGCACTATTCGCAGCCAGAGGCCAGTGCTCCCAGTGTATCCAGTACAGTGAGGAAGAGCTAACAGAGGGCAGTCAGGAACGGGGGGAGACATCCGCCTCTTCAGCAGCCAGGCGAAGAAGTAGTGGCGAGGAGAGTGGCTCGGTAGCCGGTCTAGAGACAGGTCTGTCTCCTGACCCACACGCAGCCGAGGGGGCTAGTAGTGAGGCGGAGACCCTAATTGATTGATGATGAGGCTGATCGCACCTTGGCAGCCTCGTCGTCATCAGGCTATTGCTTCCGCATCATCAGGAGAAGAGGGGTGGCAGCTTGGCAGCGAGCAAAACAGTCAGTGGGTTGTCTCCATCGCCACACTCTGCCATGTGCCACTTTCAGGTCTCCTCACACACTGCTGGTGTGTTCCATTTTTTGTGTCATAGGGTGCTGGCAGATTACGGGCCTCCTTAGCTAGCTGCTGCAGGCCCCTAATCTGCCATGGGCCCCTGTACCGCCTCCTCATGCTGCTGCCAGGTCCACAGTGTCTCATGCCATGTGCCACTTTCAGGTCTCCTCACACTGCTGGTGTTTTCCATTTTTTTGAGCATAGGGTGCTGGCAGATTACGGGCCTCCCATAGCTGCTGCCAGGCTCCTAATCTGCCTTGGGCCCCTATACCACCTCCTCATTGCTGCTGCCAAGTCCAGAGTCTCTCATGGGTCCCCTGTACGGCCAATTTTTTTCCCATTGCTGTTGTCTACCATCGCCACACTCTGCCATGTGCCACTTTCAGGTCTCCTCACACCACTGCTGGTGTGGTTCAATTTTTTGACATAGGGTGCTGGCAGATTACGGGCCTCCCATAGCTGCTGCCAGGCCCCTAATCTGCCATGGGCCCCTATACCGCCCTCCTCATGCTGCTGCCAGGTCAGAGTGTCTCATGGGTCCCTGTACATGCCTCCCATTGCTGCTGTCTCCATCGCCCACACTCTGCCATGTGCCACTTTCAGGTCTCCTCACACACTGCTGGTGTGTTCCATTTTTGTCATAGGGTGCTGGCAGATTACGGGCCTCCCATAGCTGCTGCCAGGCTCCTAATCTGCCATGGGCCCCTATACCACCTCCTCATGCTGCTGCCAAGTCCAGAGGTCTCTCATGGGTCCCTGTACGGCCTCCCATTGCTGCTGTCTCCATCGCCACACTCTGCCATGTGCCACTTTCAGGTCTCCTCACACACTGCTGGTGTGTTCAATTTTTTTGACATAGGGTGCTGGGAGATTTCGGGCCTCCCATAGCTGCTGCCAGGTCCCCTAATCTGCCATGGGCCCCTATACCGCCTCCTTATGCTGCTGCCAGGTCCAGAGTGTCACACATGGGTCCCTGTACGGCCTCCCATTGCTGCTGTCTCCATCGCCACACTCTGCCATGTGCCACTTTCAGGTCTCCTCACACACTGCTGGTGTGTTCCATTTTTTGTCATAGGGTGCTGCAGATTACGGGCCTCCCATAGCTGCTGCCAGCCCCTTATCTGCCATGGGGCCCTATACCGCCTCCTTCATGCTGCTGCCAAGTCCAGAGTCTCTCATGGGTCCCCCTCCTCCCCCCCCCCCCCTCCTCCCCCCCCCCTTCCCCCCCCCCCCCCTTTCCCCCCCCCCCCCTTTCCCTCTTCCCCCCCCCTGTACGGCCTCCCATTGCTGCTGTCTCCATCGCCACACTCTGCCATGTGCACTTTCAGGTCTCCTCACACTGCTGGTGTGTTACATTTTTTGTCATAGGGTGCTGGCAGATTACGGGCCTCCCATTGCTGCTTGCCAGGCCCGTAATCTGCCATGGGCCCCCGTACTGACTCCTCATGCTGTGACGTTGCAACAAGGTGGGAATTCAAACCTACATATGTTAGACCGCCTTTATGAACAGCGAAAGGCCATCACTAGATTTCCTGATGTTAAAGCGGATAAAGGTACTCCCTGTGTAACTTAGATGTCAGCCATTGGCAGCTCATGCGTGACACCTGCGCTTGCTCAGGCCCTTTGAGGAGGCACGCTATTCGTGAGTCGGCAGGACTATGGGATGAACGACGTCATTCCTCTGTTGCACGTCCTGGAACAAATGTGGTTAACAATGGCTGGTCAGGGTGCGGTAGACGTGGCGCACAGATCTCAACGCCACATGACCCCTGTGGGGGCAGGACAGGAAGAAGAGGAGGAGGTTAGAGGAGGACATTTGTGCTCAGGAATTATTGAGTGAAATGGGTGGTTTTTCCACTCAGCGGACAGGAGTGGAGGAGCAGGAGCATCTGGTAGAGGAGGAGGAGGAGGAGACAGAGGACCCAGACGCACCATGGCAGTATGCTGTGGAGATGGAGGCAGGGAGTCCCTCGCATTCCTTGGCACAAATGGCCATAGCATGCTCGCTTGCTTGCGTAGCGACAGCCGAATAATAACCATCAGGGACAGTTGGGATGACTTTTGGCTGTCCCACCTTGTTGGACCCTCGCTACCGTTTAAAAAATGGTGGCCTTTTTTTCACACCTGCTGAGAGGGAGGCCAAAATAACGTACTATAAAAAACCACCTATGCAGTCAGTGGTCTCTGCCTTTCTGCGCCAACGTCCATCCTCAGACACTGTGGGCCCTGTGCGCTCGCGTTCCGCTGCCATGGCAGCAGGGAGGGGTGGGGTGGTTGGAGCAGTTGCAGCTCCACCAGCAGCAGCTGCCTCAGTCTGCAGTCGATGATGAGTAGCTTTATTCACCAGCGCAGTGAGGAAACTACTAACCAGCCGCAGCAGCATCAGGTTGGACCTGGAGCAGGACCTCAAACAACAGGCTTAGGCCTACTTGGACAGCACCCTGCCAAACCGAGGTAGACAATCCCCTTGACTACTGGGCAACGAAACTTGACCTTTGGCCCAACTAGCTGAATTTGCCCTTGAAAGGCTGTCATGCCCGGCCAGTAGCGTGGCATCGGAGCGCGTGTTTAGTGTGGCAGGAGGTATTGTAACTCCGCGGAGGACACGACTGTCCACCCAAAGTGTGGAGAGACTCACAGTTTGTGAAAATGAATCAGGCGTGGATTAGTCTGGATTTAAACCACCAGTTCCTGACACAACTGACTAAATCCGCCATGAATCATGCCCCAAACATGTGCCACTTTCAGGTCTCCTCACACTGCTGGTGTGTTCCATTTTTTGTCATAGGGTGCTGGCAGATTACGGGCCTCCATAGCTGCTGCCAGGCCCCTATCTGCCATGGGCCCCTATACCGCCTCCTCATGCTGCTGCCAAGTCCAGAGTCTCTCATGGGTCCCTGTACGGCCTCCCATTGCTGCTGTCTCCATCGCCACACTCTGCCATGTGCCACTGTTTCAGGTCTCCTCACACTGCTGGTGTGTTCCATTTTTTGTCATAGGGTGCTGGCAGATTACGGGCCTCCCATAGCTGCTTGCCAGGCCCCTAATCTGCCATGGGCCCCTATACCGCCTCCTCATGCTGCTGCCAGGTCCAGAGTCTCTCATGGGTCCCTGTTACGGCCTCCCATTGCTGCTGTCTCCATCGCCACACTCTGCCATGTGCCACTTTCAGGTCTCCTCACACTGCTGGTGTGTTCCATTTTTTGTCATAGGGTGCTGGCAGATTTACGGGCCTTCCATAGCTGCTGCCAGGCCCCTAATCTGCCATGGGCCCCCGTACCGACTCTCATGCTGCTGCCAGGCCCGTAATCTGTCATGGGCCCCTGTTGTCGCTTGTTGGCATTTTCCGCTCGTTCAGATGCTCCTTCTCCTGCTACTCCTCTTCACGGATTCCGTGTCAGCAGTCTTTCTTGGAATCCGTTTCCAAGAGACAACAGTTTGCGAGCACATCACCCGACGGTGCAGAAGCTGAACGTCCTCCTGTCTCCAAGTTGCTGCTGCCAGGCTCGTAATCTGTCATGCGCCCTGTACGCCTCCTCATGCTGCTGCCAGGTCCAGAGTGTGTCATGGGCCCCCGTACCGACTCCTCATGCTGCGCTGCCAGGCCCGTAATCTGTCATGGGCCCCTGTACCGCCTCCTCATGCTGCTGCCAGGTTTCCAGAGTGTGTCATGGGTCCCTGTACGGCCTCCCATTGTGCTGTCTCCATCGCCACACTCTGCCATGTGCCACTTTCAGGTCTCCTCACACTGCTTGGTGGTTTCCATTTTTGTCATAGGGTGCTGTATGGCCTCCCATTGCTGCTGCCTCCACCGCAACACTGTGGCTCCACACTCTGGTTTTGGCCCCCGTGACTGCCCAAATGAGTGAAGTGTGCGGTGATTCTAAGATCGACGGCACTCATCTGCATGTCATACTGACTGTCAGTATTATTTCTCTTAGCAGACTCCAAGGGCATTTAAATTAAAGGTACAGTGTTCTGCACTAATATAAAGGCTCTCTGAAGCCTAGAAACACTCTTTTATAAGTTTAATTCGCAGCGAATATATTCGACTCGAATCAAAATTTTTCCACGAATTCGCCGAATCAGTCGAATCGAATTTTTGAATACTTCGCTCATCTCTATTCATATTGTATAAATACATATATATAAACGCATGTTTATAAAATTTGCATAATATAAAATAAAGGGCAATTATTCCTTATTCTGCTTTCCATTCTGATGTGAATGAGAGTAAGAATATTCAATCAATGATTGCTCACTAATAACTTCAACCAAAAAAAAAGGGGGTTAATGAATATTAAAAATTAAAAATCATGATGCATGTAAAATAATTATGCGATGCCATTTCTGTGATAATAAATAGATATAAATAATATAAATACATTTAAAATCTATTATATTTTATTAAGTTATATTTAAAAATTTTTTAAAAATAGATCAGTACTGTATAATCTATTTCATATGGTCAGAAACTCAGAAAAAAAATCAATAATAATACATAATGGTAATACGACATAAAACTACCTAAAACAAATAAAATATAATAACTTGTCATTGTGAATTATATTTTATTTGTTTATTATCACAGAAATGGCATCGCATAATTATTTTACATGCATCATGATTTTTAATTTTTAATATTCATTAACCCCCTTTTTTTTGTTTGAAGTTATTAGTGAGCAATCATTGATTGAATATTCTTACTCTCATTCACATCAGAATGGAAAGCAGAATAAGGAATAATTGCCCTTTATTTATATTATGCAAATTTTATAAACATGCGTTTATATATATGTATTTATACAATATGAACATACTTCAGTAAATCATCTTGTTTATTAGAATATGATTTCCTTAATACTTTTGGTTAGCTGGCATGCTCTTTTAAATAATAATGGTTATTTTAGCCAGCAGCCTGTGATTAGTCTGTGATCGGCGTTTCTTAGAAGATTCTGCTTTCCCCACCTATAACATGGTGCTGCCTTGTATGTTTCTAATGGACACTAGGGGAAACAAGTATATTCTCCCTGGTGATCCATGGCAAAATGGCGCCGATGTACTGCGCATGCGCGAGACGCCGGCAAAATGGCCGCCGCGACAAGCGCGATTGCCATTTCTGTGTATAAATAGAGGGGAAAGGATGTCCTGCTGTAAGCCCTGACCCTTTGAGAACGTGCATCGCACGAAACGCGTCAGCGGGGGCTACAGCACATGGACATCTAGCCACTATATGTGGCCAACAATTCATGGTCAGTAACTTTTTGTTGATTACTATTTTTTGACTAATAAACAACATCACACTATGTGGCGTCCTTTATTGGGCTCTCTTTGAGAGCACCACCTCCCACAGTGCCTATCTGGACTAAGGAGTACCTTTGACGCCCCACATTGTCTGATGAATCCTGGTTACTGCTCTTCGCGGTGAGACAGAGGATGGTACGGAGTGCAATCTGACCAGAGTTTTGATGCCGGAGATATTCTGCTGATTTTACCTCTCTACATGCGTTGTTTATACGCACTTCTGGTGAGTGCGCACTCTATCTGCCTATAGGATTCTTCACCTCTCTTCTTACACTAGAGATGAGCGAATTATTAAAAAATTCGATTCGGCTGATTCGCCGAATTTGCGGGAGAAATTTGATTCGATGCGAATTTATTCGCTGCGAATTTAACTTATTAAAAGGGTTTCTAGGCTTCAGAGAGCCTTTATATTAGTGCAGAACACTGTACCTTTAATTTAAATGCCCTTGGAGTCTGCTGGGGAAGAGAAATAATACTGTCAGTCAGTATGACATGCAGATGAGTGCCGTCGATCTTAGAATCACCACACACTTCACTCATTTGGGCAGTCACGGGGCACGACGAAGAAGAAGGAGAAGAAGAAGAAGAATGAAAAGAAGAATGAAAAGAAGAAGAAGAAGAATGAAAAGAAGAAGAAGAAGAATGAAAAGAAGAATGAAAATAAGAAGAAGAAGAATGAAAAGAAGAAGAAGAAGAATGAAAAGAAGAAGAATGAAAAAGAAGAATGAAAAGAAGAATGAAAAGAAGAATGAAAAGAAGAATGAAAAGAAGAATGAAAAGAAGAAGAAGAATGAGAAGAAGAATGAGAAGAAGAATGAAAAGAAGAATGAGAAGAATGAAAAGAAGAATGAAAAGAAGAAGAAGAAGAATGAAAAGAAGAATGAAAAGAAGAAGAAGAAGAATGAAAAGAAGAAGAAGAAGAATGAAAAGAAGAAGAAGAAGAATGAAAAGAAGAATGAAGAAAAAAGAAGAATGAAAAAAAAAAGAAGAAGAAGAAGAATGAAAAGAAGAATGAAAAGAAGAATGAAAAGAAGAAGAAGAAGAAAAGAAGAAAAGAAGAATGAAAAGAAGAAGAAGAAAGAAATGAAAAGAAGAATGAAAAGAAGAAGAAGAAGAAGAAGAATGAAAAAAAGAAGAAGAAGAATGAAAAGAAGAAGAAGAAGAATGAAAAGAAGAAGAAGAATGAAAAGAAGAAGAAGAAGAATGAAAAGAAGAAGAGGAATGAAAAGAAGAAGAATTCCAGTACAGCAAAAAGTGTATGAAAGCTCACTGCAGAGAGCTCCGCTATTTCTGACAGTTCTCTGACAGTTCCTTCACATTTACAGCGGTTGAAACATTGTATCTATTTGTTTCCGAATAAAAACATCTGTATCCTAAATGGAAACAAATAGATACAATGTTTCAACCGCTGTAAATGTGAAGGAACTGTCAGAGAACTGTCAGAAATAGCGGAGCTCTCTGCAGTGACACTTTTTGCCGGCTGATCGGGGAAAATTCGATTCGTGCATCCGAAGTTTGCTAAAATTCGGATTCGGTGCGAATCAAATTTTTCCTAATATTCGAAACGAATTCCACTTCGCCAAGTTCGATTCGCTCATCTCTACTTACCACTGATCTGGGATGAGGACTTTATGTGTGCTTTGACATATTCCATGGATCAGCGCACTGTTCACCATTGTATCACATCTGCATTTACTTTTAAATTGTTTTGATCATTGAGATTTACATGCATATATAGAGTACTCCTTTGTATTCTGATTTAAGCGCTGCACCTATCCCTCTCTTTTTATTGATCATTATAAGGTTGGTTGGTTGCCTTTTTTGGTGTTCTAGCTGCTTACATATTCCTGTTTGTAGCGCTCGCTATATCTATTTTTACACTAAACATTACACTAACCAATTGATTGATCAAATTTAAAAAGTGCACATGGCAACCTTGATAGAGTGAGAAATGCATTTCAACTTTTAATTATATATATAGCACATCAAACGGTTGTAGTTTAAAAATTATAAATCCTACACTGAAGAGCTTTATATTGTCAGAATCACAAGACCCAGACCTACATTTTGATGCATAGTATGTCTCTGAAATATTAAAAATGAAGGCACAGTCGCAGTTTATAGAAATTGCCCTTCAAATTTGAGGTGGCTAGAGTGGAGTTTCAATGAATGTCAATGGACGGCGTGAGTTGCAAACAAATAGTAATATTGTGAAAACTATCAGGACTATGGCTTAGCCATGGACATTTTTAGTGGCAGCAGGGATAGCTGAACGTTTTGATATAAGATTTGTGTAGGTGGGCTTGAAATTGAGGGAGTGATGGCAGTTTAGAAATCATGTCCTGATTTTTCAGCTCACACTCTAGCTTTTGCCAGCTCCCACTCTAGTTTTGAACATTCCGCCATTCATTCCTATGGGACCAATTTCACCACAAAAACAGTGATATTTCGTGAACCATTCGGCGAAACGTTCCATAAAGTAATAGCACACCAATCGGGACCAATCTGCAAGTTTCAGTATATTACTGTCTATGTAGTGTAAAAACTGTGGGAGGAGTTAGGGTGGTAAATTTGGCTATAATATAATAAGAATATATATGTGAGATAACAGTAAGTGGTCTTTCCATGCAAGAACACTTAATAATAATATCAGT